CAATGGACCCCAGAAGAGAGTGTTAAATGTCCTGGGGTTGGAGTTACAGGTAGTTATAAGCCATCCTAGGTAGGTGTTGGGAACCAAACTTGGATCCTCTATAAGAGTAGTATGCACTCTTCTTTATTAAAAAACAAAAAAGAAGAAGTTTCATTTTCATGTGTGGATGTTTTGTCTGCATGTATATCTGTGCACCATGTGCATGCCGTACCAGAAGAGGTAAGAAGAGAGCCTCAAATCTCCTGGAACTGGAGTTACAGACGGGTGTTAGCTACCATGTGGGTGCTGGGAATCAAACTCAGGTCCAGGAAGAAACAGCCAAAGCTCTTGTTTGTTTTTGTTTTTTGTCTGTTTATTTCTTTATTTTTTGAGACAGGGTTGCTCTGTGTAGTCCTGGCTGTCCTGGAGCTCACTATACAGACCAGGCTGGCCTTGAACTTACAGAGAACCACCTGCTTCTGCCTCCCAAATTCTGGGATTAATGGCATGCACCACCACAGCCTGACATCACAGGATTTTTTGGGGGAGGCATTCTTATTCAAATCACCACATGAAGTGTGGCTGATTCAATGGGAGCAACCTCTGTGAGCTAACAGCCCCTCCCGCCTCATGATGTTGTTTAAGTTAATTCCTGCTTAAAAAGTATTCTTCTGATGGTGCAGACCCATACTTGAGAGGCTCAGGCAGGAGGATGTATGTTCAAGGCTTGAATGGCTCCATAGTGATTCTAAAGCCAGCTTGGGTAACTTAGTGGAACTGTCTTAAAACAAAAAAATAAAGGGCATGGGGATATAGTTCAATAGAAGAGTGCTTGCCCAGCACATATGAGATGTTAGGTTCAATCTTCACAGGGGGGTTGAGGGTGAGAGAGTGAGGAGGCTGGGGTGGCAGTGAGGGTGGGAGGGGCCATTCTCAAATACAGGATTAAAAGAAGTGGCTTCAGTATATAAATTTGTCCATGAAAGGAAAGATAAAGTAAAAATGATAAATTTAGCAGAAAGGTATATGGAAAGAAACTGCAAATATTTGCAAACATTTTCTTCACATTGCCAACCAAGCAGTAACTAGTGCATGGCTTGCACAGGCAGAGCAGGGGCAGCATTTATCTGGCTTATATCACTCCAAGTATTCCGATTTTACTAATATTTTTAACTTTTAGATTTATTTTATGTTTATGAGTGTTTTTCCTCATGTATATCTGTGCACCTTATAAATTTCTGGTGCCAAATGAGATCAGAAGAGGCACCAGATCCTCTGGAACTGGAGGTGCAGATAGAAGGTTGTCTGCTACAATATGGTTGCAGGAACCAGAGCTGGATCCTCAGCAACAGCAACAAGTGCTCTTAACAGCTGAGCATCTCTCCAGCCATGTGCTCTACTCCTTTTCTTCTCTGAGTTGGTGGTTTATCATCTTCACTTCCAGCCTAAAGGATGCTTTTGAGCATGTAGAGGAGAGGGATGGCTCAGTGGTCAAGAGCAGAGTGTGTAATGTTCTTGCAGAGGACCCAGGTTTGGTTCTCTGCATCCACATCAGGCAGCTAACAACTGCCTGCAACTCCAGCTCCAGGGGATTCAACACCTCTGGTTTCTATAAGTGCCCGCACTGATATACACTCCCTCTGTATGTTTTGGAGACAGAGTTTCTCTATGTAGTCCTGCTGTCTTGAAATTCTGGGTTGAGCAGGGTGGGGTAGGGGAGGGAACTTCTCTGAGCTTTTGCTCCCTTGTCTTTCATGTCTTTCATGAGGCCCAGTCCTCTATTTAGGAAGTAGTCAGCCTCCCTCTCTCGAGTCATTCTTTGGCGTCAAAGCAGTTATGACTTCTTCATGCCTACCCAGTTATTCCAAGCCTTCAGGGAGGTACAAATGAGAAAATGAATATGAAATGAAAGAACAAAAATGAAACTTTAAATGACATAGTAAACTAAAACGATATTTTAATTTCAATAATTGAAGAAATGTTGGTGGTAGTGGTAGTAAATATTTTTCATTTTTTTAAATTTTTTTTTCAAGATAGGGTTTCTCTGTGTAACAGTCCTGGCTGTCCTGGAACTTACTTTGCAGACCAGGCTGGCCTCAAACCCACTGAGATCTACCTGCCTCTGCCTCCTAATTGTGGGAGTAAATATTTCAAATGGATAAAAATCTATTTTGTGATCTACAGAGAATAAGAGATAACAGTTGAGTACGAGTATCAAACAGGCTCTCTACGCCAAGAATCTGGAGACTTTTTACCTTTGAGATGGGGTCTCATACAGGCCACGCAAGTCTATAACCTATTTGTAGCTAAGAATGACCTTGAATTTCTATTTCTGGATCTTCTATCTTTACGGTCCAAGTTCTGAGTTTACAGATGTGGACTACCATACCCAGCTTTGTGTGGTGTTGGAGATTGAGCCCAGGGCTTTTATGTAAGCTAGACAGATTATCAATGAGTTACACCCCAGCTCTTGAGATGCTTCTGCAAGAATTCTGCTTAGGCACTTGAGAGGCAGAGGCGGGAGGATCTGTGTGAGTTGGAGGCAGTCTGGTCTACAGAATGAGCACTAGGTAGGGCTCCAAAGCTACACAGAGAAACCCTGTCTCTCTATGTAACAGCTCTGGCTGACCTGGAACTCACTTCGTAGACCATGCTGGTCTCAGCCTTAGAGATCCTCCTGCCTGCCTCCTGAATGCTGAGATTAAAAGTGTGCACCACTGCTCATGACCATATAATCATAATTTTATTAAGTGTTAATAACCACATGTGACTATTCTGCGTATTGTGGGACTCTAGATGATGCTGATAGACTGAATGAACCACAAATTTTTCTTTGATCCGATTTAAAGCTAGGTGGGTGGGTATTAAAAGAAAAAAGAGACAATGGGAAGTAGTAACAACCAACATTTACTGTGTATTTATTATAATTATAGTTATAATTATTGTGCCAGGTACTTATTAAAACACTTAACTATATTTTATATGATCCTTGCAAGAGTAGCAAATAATTGCTCTAATCATTTTCCAGATGAGAAAATTTAGGCACAGAAATTTTACTGGGGGGGGGGTGACGTAGTTGGTAGACAAAGGGTAGAGAAAGAACTCATACATAGGTGGTTTGATTACAGAGCCTGCTCATTTATATTGCATAACTCAGGAATAAGGTTATATCGAAGTGACTGGGACCACAATTCTCAAACCCCTGAGGGTACCATTAGGTAATTTTAAACATTTATATATGTTATTTATGTATTTTAAATTTATATTATTTATTTATTTATTTGAGATTGACTCTCCCTATGTTGTCCAAGCTGGGCTCTCATGATCTTTTGCCTCAGTCTCCCTAGTAGCTGAAACTCAGGCCAGTGCCAACATTCTGGGTACATATACACACAGCAGTATTGAAGATGGAATCCAGGACCCAGTGCATGCTGGGAAAGCATTCTCTCTCCCCTGCCTCCCCCAAGACAGGATTTCTACAGTCCTGACTGTCCTGGAACTCGATCTGTAGAGCAGGCTGGCCTCGAATTCATGAGATCTACCTGTCTCTGCCTCCCGAGTACTGGAATTAAAGGCGTGCTCCATCACTCTTGTCCCTAATGTTTCAAAAAAGCCTAATGATGGTAATAACATAAACCAATTAAAAATTTAAAAGACCAATCAAATATAAAATATAAATAGATAATTCCTTGAACTTCTTTTTTCCTCTTTCCGTCTTTCCCCTACCCCAGCCCCAACAGCACAGACTGGTGCAGGATGACTCAGTCATTACTACTACTACTATTGAGGGTCTCCCTATGAGAAGCCCAGGCTGACCAGGAACTCAGAGATCCCCTGCTTCAGCAGTGGGATTAAAGGTGTGGGCTACCACACCTGGCTTTCCAGCTATTATTTTTATTCTTATATTCTACTAAAACTGGTGCACAGTTAAGGCTCTTTCTCTTCTCTTTCTTTCTTTTCGTTCTTTCTTTCTTTCTTTCTTTTTCTTTTTCTTTTTTTTTTTTTTTTTTTTTTTTTGAGACATGGTTTCTCTGTGTAACTTTGGATCCTGTCCTGAACTCACTCTGTAGACCAGGCTGGCCTCAAACTCACAGAGATCTGCTTCCCTCTGTGTCTCGAGTGCTGGGATTAAAGGCCTGTGCCCCAACCACTTGGCTTCAATAAATATTTTTGATAAGTGTATGAGAAAAATAGGATTGGGAAACTGGCTTGAGTTGTGGTAAAACATCAAGCAGGAGAGATAAACTCCCAGGAGAGGAGCTGATAAAGGATTTCAAGATCTAAGCATGGTTGAGGAGAAGGAATACCGAATGCTTACCATGGGTTGTACTTTTTAGTTCTGTGGTGTGTGTGTAAGTAACTGTTACATGAATTTCCCCCCCCCCCTCGTTATTTGTTTGTTTGTTTGTTTCTCCGAGACAGGGTTTCTCTGTGTAACAGCCCTGGCTGTCCTGGAACTAGACTTGGCTGGTTTGGAATTCACAGTGACCCCCCTGATTCCCCTGCGCTGCCTCCCAAGTGCTGGGATTAAGTGCGTAGGCCGCCAACACCCAGCGAGAATTCTCTTGACAAAATTCTCAGGGTTAGCTGAATTGTTGGGCCCAGTGCTGTGCATCCATTCAACCTCTCACCATTCTTTCCATGCCGAAGAGCCAAGCAGTCTTAGAACTCACCGCGATCCCGGCCTCTGTGTGTTTCCCCAAATCCTGTAGGCACCGAGTCAGCACTATTACCCGCGCGGCCTTATTTCCCTATTCCAGAAAGTAACTCGGACAACGCTTGACTTAATTTTATTCTAGAGTTGCACAATCTATGGTTTGTGTATTTTTCGCTTTTCGAGTTCTTACACAATAACGTAGCGGAGAATGGAGTTGCAGATGGGCGGCTCCGGGGCTCTCCACCCTGCGTCTTCTAGTCCTCTTTCCGCACAGGGCGGCTTTCCTGGCTGGGAGAAGAATGAATATGCGCGGCGGGGGTCCTTTTGGGAAGAACTCTGCGAGGTTTCCTGCCACACCTCTGGATGAGGGTGTGTCACCATGGAGACGGGGCGGCAACCATTGGTTGACGCCTGGGGCTGGGACTATAAAAGCGGGCCCTGCGAGCAGTGCTCTAACTGCGTTGGCCAGACTCAGGCGGTGTCGCCCGCGGAGCGGAAAGGGCAGGATTTCGGCACGGCCGTCGGTGACACCATGGAGAAGAACGAGTGAGTGTCAGGCCCGGAGACTCGGACGTTCTGCCGAGACCTGGGAACTTAGCAGACTGGGCCCAGAGAAGGAGCGAGTCCGCTGGGTTTGCAGAGGCCTGGCACAGAGCCGGGTGGCGGACTCAGAGCTCCGGAATGGCGGGGACGCTAGCGCGCAGGGCGGGCGCGGGAATCCAGCTGGAGGGGCGCCCCGAGCAGGAAGGAACAGGTTAGCGCGGGGTAGGCGACCCCTGTCAGCAACTGCTGTGCCTCCGTGGTGTGTCGGGATGCTTGTGGAAAAGCAGGCACGAGCCCTGTCTACTTCGTAACACAAGTTTCCATTCTAGGGGTCCGGGTAACCCAGGAGATAATTCTGTTGTGCTATCGCGCAGTTCCTCTTTTAGAAGGAAAATTTTTGCTCACTTTTCAAGACCCTCTCTCCCTCCAAACTAGAGATCGGATTAGCAAATTGGGAATGGAGTCTCTTTAGGCTGGGAAATCTGTTTTTATTTATCTAGTCAGAAGACCAACTCCTTCCTGTCCACAAAAAAAAAAAAAAAAAAAAAAAAAAAAAAAATCTCAATTATGCGTCGGGAATTCCCAGATTAACTCACCAGCAGAGCTGTATGGAGCACAGTAGTTTAGGAATGACCACAGGTCCGAGGTATTCTCCAGAACGGAGCTGTGGCTGGACATGGCCGATTGCCATGCGTCATTTCTTCCCGCCCTTTGGGGTGCTGTGTCATTAATTTCTGGCTTCGTTTTGTCACTCTTATCTGTGCCCGCCTTACCTAGCTGTTTTATTGATGGTAACCGATTGTGTTGTAGTCCTGTTTCCTATATTCCTGTGACTGTGTGTCTTGCTATACTTCAGGAAGGCTTAAGTTATCCTAATGTCTGGCTCTGTTATGTAGCTGGGACTAAAGACTCTCTTACTGGAAGAAGAAAAAAAAAATCTTGTTGAGGTTTTTTTTTTTTTTTTAGTTGTTTTCAATTCATGTACACCACAGTTCTAACACTTCCAGGAGTAATCTTTGATCTTTCCAGTGATGGAATTGGACTTGGGACTGTGTGAAGGTTCTGGGTTGATTTTTTTTTTTAACCCTTTGATTTCTTGAGACAAGGTTTCTCTGTGTAACAGGCTGTCCTAGTACTCACTATGTAGACTAGCTCGGGCTGTCCTAGGACTCAATTTGTGAACTAAGCTGGCCTGGAACTCAGAGATCCACCTGCCTCTGCCTCCTGAGTACTGGGATGAAAGGCATTCACCACCACTCCTGGCTTCTTAGCAAGTTTTTAGTATGAAGAAATAGGCCCAGATGTGGTGATACATTGTTTCTGATTTTTTTTTTTTTAAAGCCACTGGAGATCAAAATAGCAAAGCAGCAATCATACTATTTAGATATAGAAGCCAGGCAGTGGTGGCACATACCTTTAATCCCAGGACTCAGGAGACAAAGGCAGATGGATCTCTGAGTTCTAGACCACCCAGGGCTACATGAGATTGAATCAGTCTAAAAGAATAGCAGAGCTCATGCCTTTAACCCCAACACTAGGGAGGTGGAGGCAGGAGGATATGGCTGGGCAGGAGGAGACAGGAATTCTGAGCTTTTGCCTCTGAGGATTCATGGAGATTAAAGGTGTGGGCCACAAGGCTGGGCCATTGAGTATCTTTGTTAATTACAAATGACAGTGGTCTGTACCCAGGAATCAAAGAAACGTGTCCAGAGGAATGAGGCTCTTATATAGTAGACTTCTACTAGGAGTGTTCTTAGTACTCACTAATAAACAAAAATAAGAAAATGCCAGGGCTGGTAACATGACTCCCAAAGCCTTGGAACCTACATGCTGGAAGGGGAGAACCAATTCCCAAGTTATCCTTAGACCAACACACACATGCTGTAGCGTGCTTTGTACCCACTACACACATACACACCAACTAAGTTAAAATTTTAAATTGAAAATTAAATTTAAAAAAACTTTTTACCCAAAGAGCTGCCTAAAGTCTTAGCTACTTTAGTAGGCTGGGTTGGAAATTAGTTTAGGCAATGTAGGGAAACCCTGTCTCAAACAAAACACAAAGCAAAAGGCAAAAAACTTGTCTTCAGGAAGGCCTTAATTTGTGCTGAGTCCTCTCCTTGATTTGATTACTGCACTGTAACTCTGAAACCTCTGGTCCTGTGTCTTGTCACACAGAGGGTACAGGCCTCCTAGGGCCAGGTGAAGCTTAGTGGTTGAGCATTTGAAGTGGGACAGTTAATGGAAACAGGCTTCATTAATTTTGTCATGCTCTGGACTGAAGGAAGGGTGCTCCACATCAGACTTAGTGGTCCTGATTCAAAAGAGATGGGGAAGTGGATGATGAATGGTGGGCTCCCTCTGGTTTGCCATCTCTGTCCTCTGATGCTTTGAATACCTGCCAGGTTTTCTGTGCTAACAATCCTTTTCTCGTGTACTTGGAATGGAAAGCAAATTCATTTTGCTCTTTTCCCCTAGATTCACATACGAAGATTACCAGAACACTGCTGAGTGGCTTCTGTCTCACACTACGCATCGACCTCAAGTGGCAGTGATCTGTGGTTCTGGGTTAGGAGGTCTGACCTCTAAATTAACTGAGGCCCAGGTCTTCGAGTACAGCGAGATACCCAACTTTCCCCAAAGCACAGGTACTGACTGGGGCTGTGAGATGTTGATGGGTATCTTAATCATTGTTCTGTTGCTGTGAGGAGACATCATGACCAAGGCAACTCTAACGAAAGAAACCATTTAATTTGGGGCTTTCTTTCTGAGATTTGGTCCATTTCATGCTGTGGAGCATGGCAGCATGCACGACATTAGAGCAGTAGCCAAGAGCTACATCCTAAGGCCAAGAAAGGGACACTAGGCTTGGCACTCCTCCAACAAGGCCACACTTCCTAATTCTTCTAATACTTTCAAATAGTGCCACTCTGCTGGCAACTAAGCATTCAAGTATATGCACCTATGGGGGCCATTCTTATTCAAACTACCATAATGGGCTAATGTGTAATCAGAATCAGAATCAAGATGTTTCTACTTTTGTCCTATTATTGGGGAATCAATGATTTTGGATAGAAATTACCTTGATTGAAATTTTATAGTGTGTGTTGGGGTAGTGAAATTCTATAGAAAGTTGTGGGCTGTGTTGGTGAGATGGCTCAACAGGAAAAGTTGCCTGTTCCCAAACATGATGTTCAGTCCCCAAGACCCATGTACTGAGAGGAAAGAACTGACTCCTGCTAGTTGTCTTCATACTGCAACTCTCTACTTCTCTTTCTCTTTCTTTCCCTCTCTCCCTCCCCCACCCCTTTTCTCTCCCAGTCTGTGGCTTCAGTGGAAAAAAGCAGTATCTGAAGCTCCAGGACAAGGACCTGTTTCCAGTGTCTTCCTGTCACCCTTCATCTCCATCTCCAGTCTAGACTGATATGACCACAAGTACTGAGACACCATGTAGTTGCTGTCACACACAGGGATTAGTATGGATAGGAGGGAGCTTGGTTTACAACAGTCTTTGGAAAGGGACCCATATAGCCCATGTAGTGTGGAGCTCGGGCATCTCAGTGTAGCAAGCACTGTGACAGCAGCATGGGAACACAGGCACACACTTAGAAAGGCCAGGTGAGGCAGGACAACAAGAGGACTTTGTTTTTTTTCTTTTATTTTAAATAACTTTGGTTTAATATATAAGTGTGCATACACACACACTATATATATATATATATATGTATATATATATATATACATATATATATATATATACATATATATATATATATATATATATATATATTCTTCTTTCCCAAGATGTTGGAACAATTCTGGAAGACCGGAGCAGGGAGGTGTGGGAGCAAGGGGTAGAAAAGGTAACATTAAAGAGAGAAGGGCAAAGGGCAATAGTAGTGGCATTGGCTCCATCTGCCACTCCCTCCTTTAGGGACAAGAGCCCTGTATTAGTGATAAGCAAGTTAATTTGAAGTTATCAACTTACTTTTTATTTTGGGGATTTCCTGGCTATGTCAACTTTATTACTAGTATTTTTTTTTTTTTTTTTTTTTAATGATTCTTGATTCTAGTCCCTCTTCCTGACAGATCCATTTCTTAAAGAAATATAGGTTGGCCATCCACTAGAGGACACTGTCAGATAATGGGGACAGTAGTGATGTTTAATCTTTGTGCCTCCAGGCCCCACATACCCCAGGGTATTCTTTCCCACAGGATTTATTATACAGGTAAAAAATACAGAGTTGTGTGGGTCCCAAACTGACTCTTCCTTGTTCATCTTTAGGATGCCAGCATATACCAGGAGCTCCCTAACTGGAATTAAGGAGGCATACAGTTTAGTTAGAGTTAGTTATCAGATACATTGTGAGAATTTGGAAAATCTTGGAAGAGGCCTGTAAATATTGAGCCCACTATCCATTGATGGTTTGTACTCACTTACAGTATGAATTCCTCTTTGATATGCCATGTTTTGTTGACACTCATGGGACACCTGCCCTTTCCTAAACAGAAACAGAGTAGGAGTGGACTGGGAACAGATGGAGGGTGTGGGGGAGGGACTAGGAGGGAGGGGAGAAACTGGCTTTTGTTGTTATATGTTCACATCAAATATTCTTATCCCACATCTCTAACCTCAAGTTACATTTGTATGATTATGATCTGGTCATCAGACTTCTGTTGTGTTTTGTTAATTATATCATCATATGTTAAACATAGTAAGTGGCATATGGAATTGGGGTAGGGGGCTGGGAGGGGAGGGTAGTTAGGGTGCATATGAGAGGACAGGGTAAAAGGGAGGGAGGGAGGGAGAGGGAACTGGGATCGACATGTAAAATAATAAATTAAATAAAAAAATGCTTTGACTCAACCCCCCCCCCAAAAAAAAAAAACATAGTAAGTGACTTCTAGTAAGTGTGTGTTACAGGAAAGAATGATCACTTTGCTTTTTGAAGCAAGGTCTCACTGTGTATCCCTGGCAGGCCTTGAACTGACAGAAATCTGCCTGCTTCTGCCTCCTGAGTGCTGAGATAAGAAGGATGTGCCACCACACCTGGCTTAATCACTTTTCTTTTCCTTTTCTGTATGCAGTGCAAGGTCATGCTGGTCGACTGGTGTTTGGATTCCTGAATGGCAGAGCCTGCGTGATGATGCAGGGCAGGTTCCACACATATGAAGGGTACTCACTGTCAAAGGTAAGTCAGAGGTACAAGTTTGGTTGGACTTGGAGGAAGGTGGGGAGAGCTATTCTACTGTATTGTCTATTTCAGCTAGGTGAAGTTTTGATTTCTTGTTTCCTGTTGTTTCATGGTGTGTATTATGCATACCTTTGTGGGAAGGTTGGTGAGGTTTTGAAAAATCTTTTCTGATCTTTTGCATCTAAGGTGACATTCCCGGTGAGGGTTTTCCGCCTTCTGGGTGTGGACACTTTGGTAGTCACCAATGCAGCTGGAGGGCTCAACCCCAATTTTGAAGTTGGAGATATCATGCTGATTCGAGATCACATCAACCTACCTGGTTTCTCTGGTCAAAACCCTCTCCGAGGCCCCAACGATGAAAGGTAGGCATCTCTAGTCTTTGCTCCAGATGTGGAAAGTCTGAGCTTGTCCAAGAGTTGGGAAAGAAAAGTTCACTTAGTGCCATGTATCTGAGATAATGCAATCTGTGCTTTAGGTTTGGAGTTCGTTTCCCTGCCATGTCTGATGCTTATGACCGGAATATGAGGCAGAAGGCTTTGACTGCCTGGAAACAAATGGGAGAGCAACGGGAATTACAGGAAGGCACCTATGTGATGTTGGCCGGACCCAACTTTGAGACTGTGGCAGAGAGCCGCCTGCTAAGGATGCTGGGGGCAGATGCTGTTGGTGAGAAGGGGGATTTGACTAGAGGTTTGAGGGAAGGATCTGGTAAAATAGCGAAGGGGAGGAAGAGGTTATGGATCTGGGGAGGGATGAATTGGATTACTAGGGAAGTGGTAAAGACAGGCTTGAGCTTCATCACTGTTACAGAATGTCAGTACAGCTGCCTTCTGTACCTGTGGCTGGAAGTTGGCCTCATATCATTAATTGCACAAATTACAAAAATAGATTGTGTTAGAGAAGTGTATTTAAAAAAAAAAAAACTAGTAAGGCTGCTTGAAGAGACTTGGGAAATAAATGTTCAATACTAATTTAGCTGCTTTGGATGCTTTCTGAAATTCGATGAATTTATGTGAGTGGAGGGTGAGAAAAACCTCATGCGGGTCATCTTCTCTTTCTCCCCATCAGGCATGAGCACGGTCCCAGAAGTTATTGTTGCACGACATTGTGGACTTCGTGTCTTTGGTTTCTCACTCATTACTAACAAGGTCGTCATGGATTACGCAAACCAGGAGAAGGCCAATCACCAGGAAGTCTTAGAAGCCGGAAAAGCAGCCGCACAGAAACTGGAGCAGTTTGTCTCCATTCTTATGGAGAACATTCCACCCCGAGAGCACTGAATGGCATTGGGGTGCTCCCGTGCTGCCGGTGGGGTCCAAGGAGCAGTCCTCTTTGGTCCCTCGCTGGGGTCACTAGTCTCTGCTCTTACATTGTAGCAGAAAGAGGATCCCTGCCCTTCACCTCCTCCAATGGTCTTCCACATTCTGATATCTGCCCTCTTGCTCAGTTGCCTTCACAAAAAAGCTTAACTTTCACTCCTTTGGAAGAGCTGGAGCTCATGCCCCCACCACACTTGGGACATATGTCTTCAAACAGCACCTTCTAGATCTGGGAGATCATACACATGTTCCTCTGGATCAGCCTGGCTCCCCTAAAGCACTATAGACCAAAGACCAACCCAGTACCTCTTTTATGTAGTACCACAATGTTTGGAGAATAAAGAGATCAAATGCTTTCTTTCTGTGTGTAATTTTGTATGAAGCTGAGGCATAGGCCAAGATGGGCTTGAAAAGCTTTGGGACCACATGTCTTGGGAAGTAGCTAAGGATTGAGAAGAGGTGGCAGGTGGGTAGCAAAGGGTGAAGGTGAAAGAATGGTGATGTAAGTGAGGGGTGGGGTGGGGTGGGGTGACCACTTCTTTTAGGCTTGTGCCCACCCTCCGTTTCTGCTCTGCTCCAGGCACTTTCATAAGTTTGTGCATCTCTTCTGTACCTTAGCTGCCACTCTCTTATTGTATTCTTTTTATCCTCTAGTTTTTCAGTCATATTTTCCACTCCATCCTGACAATGCAGCAGCAAATACCTTTTGCCAATTTTTTTTTTTTTTTAACGCACTGCTGGCCAGGTTCTTTCCAATCCCAGTCAAGTCCGTAAAGTTGGTTCATACTCAGTTTCTCCTTTTGTTATGTGCTGGCTATTCTTGGTTGTCAGATTGACTCCATCTGGAACTAAAATCCAAAAAGTAGAGGACATACTTGTGAGGGATTTTGCTTACTTTGCTCTAATCTGGATCTTTGAGGTAGAAAATCATACCTTTAATCCAGATCTTGAGTTGGGAAGACACACCTTTAACCCACATCTAATCTGGACCACTCCTGCTGGAAGCCTATGTAAGGACATGGAAGAAGGAAGGAAGCTTTTGCTCTTTGCCTGCTTGCTGGCAAGTTCATTCCTTCACTGGCATATAGTCTACTTCAGGATTCCAGTGTATTCTGAAATCCAGATGAGACATCCAACCTCACGGGCTGAGCAACTACTGAATTCTTGGACTTTCTGTCATAGTCAGCCAGTGTTGAATAAGCTAGACCATAGCCTGTAAGTCCTCTCTCTTTCATCTGTCTTTTACCTTGCTGATTTCTTAAGGAAATTGCACTACTCTCTCTTCCAAAGCTAAACAAATCTTAGGAGACAAGAGAAATGGCTCAAAATCAAGGGACCTAGGTCTGGAAGGATCCCCTAATGAAAAGAATTTCTTGGAAAAACTAATGATGAGACCACTCTTGTAGAGAGGCCTGTAGGGTGCCTGCAAATGGATTGGTTTTCCTTGGTTTCTTGGAAGGTATCAAAAAGTAAATTCAAATTGTTTTGTTTTTTGTTTTCTAGATTCTATCACAGACAGCTTTATCAACAAATATTTATGTACCATGTGTGGGACACTTCTAAGCAAAATCATAACATAAGTTGATATAAGAGGAAGTGGGAGACAGAAAATGTTTATAAAAAATAAATAGCAAGATTAAGATAGTTATGCCCTTTGTTAAATGACTTTTAACTAATCTTGTTTACCTTTATGCTGTCATGATTTAGAGTCATCTTTTTCCAGTAAACTTTGAGGACACCCTAATTTTTGAGAGGAAAAGAAGAAATACAATAATATATGGAAAGCAGTATACTGTAAGGGCTAATGATCATAATTTGCTTCAAGAATTCAAAAGAGAAGTAACTTGGGAGTGGAGGGAGAGGGTGTGGAAATGTATTCCTGAGACTTGAGTTAACTTAAGAAAGACTTGTGGTAAAGACATCCTAAAAAGGTGCTACTTAAGGCATATTTGGGAATGTTTTATTACTTAAAACAAAATGGTGCCAAGCAGTAGTGGTGTAGCTGGCAGTGGTGACACACACCTTTAATCCCAGCAACCAGGAGGCAGAGGCAGATGGATCTCTGTGAGTTCAAGGCCAGCCTGGTCTAAAGAGTTAATTTCAGGACAGCCAGGGCTGTTACACAGAGAAACCCTGTCTTAAAAAAAACCAAAATAATTAATGGCTAAACTGAAGAAAGAAACAGAAAAATAAAGAGATAAAGTAGGAAAGGAAGTTGTTCAGGGCTCTGATCTAGGCAAAGGTGTTTAAAAACTGTTTTCTTGGCTGAATAGATGGCCAATGAAGTCCAATAAACTACAGACCTATAGCCAACAATTGCACTGATTATTTTGTCTGCCTAAATGAAGCAAAAAGCACTGTTTTTTTCAAATGGTAATTTTTGCAGTAGAGCCTTGTATCCCTAACTAGACTGGAACACAACTCATTATGTAGCTTGGAGTTACAGGTATGAGCTACAGCTTGCAAGGGAGGGCAGGACAATACAAAAGGAATGGACAAGAAAGATGAACCATGACATATATGTGTACTAACCTAAAAGATGATCACAAAAGGCCTTTCCATGGTGAAGTTACTAAGTTCACCTAAAACGAACTCTAGTAAAATTGTTAGTATTAACCTTTTCTCAGGTTATAGGTGTGTGTGTGGGGGGGGCATGTACATGTGATGTTGCAGACTGCTAGTTGTTAGAGGCTATGAAGATAGTTTAGTGGTAGAGAACTTGATTCGAGTGTGCAAGAGCCTAGTTTCAAGGCCCAGATATCTCTCTCGTTCTCTCTCTCTCTCTCACACATACACACACACACAAACACACACATACACACATACCAGTTAAATGTAAAAACTAAATCTCAAACAATTTAGAGTTGAAGATATACCTTAGAGAGAATGTGGAAGTTATGAAGATGGTGACTTCTGGTTCAGTTTCTGCCCTCCATCCTCACCCAACAATATACATCACTATTCTATGCTAATGGGAGATGTCATTCTGTAAATATGTTTCTCTTATTGGCTAAAGAGATTGGTTGTGATCATTAACCATTTATAACCAACCCCATTTAGAGGAAAACAAACATTTATAGACAACATTTGGGAATATGGGTGTCATCTTCTCCAAACTGCTTCCTGCTGATTGGGGATGCTGTTTATACCACGGGGATCCTGAGAAGACCCAGAAATTCTGGCTGTAGTGGTCGGCAAGGCTGCCTTGTCCCAGCTGTCTTGAATGTTGGATCATCTGGGACACTGTTTCATGGGGTCTTGCTTGATCAAACCATGCTAGTCTGGAAGGAATCCACAGCTTTTCATTTTCTGTGGAAACAAAAACAGAAGTTCTTTTCCCTAGTAACCTGTCCTTAGACTTAAAATTTGAAGTCAAAGCATTTTTAAAATATATAAATTGGATCAATCCAGCAGCATTTCTTTTAGTAGTTGTTGCTATTTCCTCAGCAGTCAAACAATTAAAACAACACAATAGCACAGAATATCCAGACTCTGTATATTTTTCATTTTTACATGGCTTTTTATTACTCTACTCCTTTTTCTTTTATTTTTTTTCATTTTCTGAGACAGGGTTTCTCTGTGAACTTTTGTCTGTCCTAAAATTCATTCTGTACACCAGGTTCCCCTTGAAATCACAGAGATCTGCTTGCCTCTGCCTCCTGAGTGCTGGGATTAAAGGTGTGCGCCACTATTGCCTAGTCACTTTATTTCTTTTTTAACCAAATATCATTTTTATTTTCTCTCCCAAGCCTATATATATTTTTTAAACACACTGTAAAAACCTTTTAGGTTTTATTTCATCTGAATCTGTCTTTACTGTATATCTCAACTTTTTTCTAGCTACAACCCAAGTCTTGTATCTTCTAAACCAAATTGCTAAAATTAAAGTCTCGGCTGTTTTAGCCATCGTCTATCCAAGATGGCGGGGGTACATTTACCACCATCACTGAGAGCTGTGCTCACCACTTTGGTCTATGCTGCCATCAAGCAGCATGTGGCCAGCTTGGAAATGTGGTCACTGCTACTGCCAGCTCTGGTACACACCATTAAGTTGTTAGCAGGGCCTCTTTAAAGAGCCCTGCAGTTTTTTGCCTGCTGAGTCAGGAAGACTCCCTTAAATTAGGAGCAGTGTGAGTCTCTGCCTTGTCTCTAGCAAAACAGAACCCACCCGAGAAAAAATGCTGCTACCAAGAAGCTTTGCTTGTCTCTGTTCTTTTTGTTTAAAATGCACTTTTAAGCTTTTGTCAAGTTTTAAGTGGATGTTCTTAACATCCACGTTGTAGGCACCATTTTGTTATGTGCACTTTCCTGCCAGCCTGGACCCACAGCTGCGTCAGCCTCAAAATAACAGAGACTCTATTAGTTATAAAGCTGTTTGCTAATGGCTAGAGCTTCTTATTGACTAGCTCTGTCTTAAATATTAATCCATAATTATTAATATATGTATTTCTTCACTGTTCTGTATCATGCTACTTTTAATCAACACATTTTAGAGATATTTTATACCAGTAAATTAGGTGTTTCCTTGATAACTTAAGTCAGTATAGCCAAGACTACATTTTATGGTCTTAATTTTGAGGGAAGCAAAGGAAATGTGAACAGAACTCTCCAGAAAGAAGCGGCCCTTCAGACTGAACCTTCTACAAGGTGACTGTTTAGAGCTGGAGTGACTGGGAGCAGTTTGGACTGTCACGAGTCCAAAGGCAAACGACCTTGGGCCACCTTCAGCCTCCTTAATAGCCATTCACTTCCCTCCTCTCTCACTGATTGGAAGTTTTGTGCCAACTGGGTAATCGCTTGGAATGTATAAACAGGGCACCAGTTTCCCTCTGATGAATGAGTAGCTTCCACTGACCAAAAGCTGACAGTGGCAGGTAACATCTAAGACTGTAGCAAAGGTGTCTCCCTTTGCTGTAGCCTGTTTCTTGGATGTCTCTGCCAATGGATCTGGAAAGTGTCTTTTAGGGGAAATATTATTTATTCACTTATGTATCCATTTATTTATCGTATGCGTGTGCATGTGAGCACAGAGTGCCTTCATGCACTTGGAAGTCAGAGAACAACTTGTGGGAGTTAGTTCTCTTTTTCCATATGGGTCACAGAGATCAAACTTAGATTGTCAGGCTTGGTGGCCAGTACCTTAGTTTGCTCAGCTATCGAACCACCCATTAAATGTGTCTTGACTGATGACTTTCTTTGTTCTGTTACTATAGAAACTTCATGAAACTCTTCCATGTTGAAAAATAGAATTTTGGGTAACCTAAATCTGTGTTCCTGGGCCCATGGTCACTTATATTTGGATCCAAGATAAATTATCTCCTATCCACTTTCAGTTGGAAGCCTTGATTCTTCGACA